GATTCTTTTCAACCCTGGATTTCTCTCTCTGACTCAGGCCCAACTTGTCCAGCCTGAGGACACTCTTCTCAATTCCCCACTGTCTTCCTTTCTGCTCGCCCTTGCCTACCCTGCACCTGTGGTTGCATTACCATTAATTATAGCCTATGGCTCCACACATGCTGCTTTCTCTGATAACATGAAGTACGCCATCTCCTCACCAGATACGCTGGTGAAGTACGCTCACCAGACTGTGAGCACTTTTTTCCCTTTCATTTCCTAAGAGCACTAGCAATGCCATGGCAACATCTGATCCCTAACCTCGAATGGGGGTGGGGTTGATGAGCGAACCGGAGCAGGTGTTCTCTAGAAAGGAAACAATTAGCCAGATGAAGGGAGAAATGAAGGAGCAGGGTTTTAGGCCAGTGCTTCTCAAACTGTCGTATGTATGCAAGTCACTCAGGGATTTGCAGATTCTGATTCAGGAGGTCAGGGATGGGACCAGAGATTCTGTGGTTCTTACAAGATATCAGATGATGCTGATGCTACTGGTCTAAGGACCACACATTGAGTAGAAAGTTCCAGGCAACATGAGGGCAAGGATCTTGCTATTATATTCACTGCTATATCAAGATAGAGTATGTCTGCCCCAGAAAAGATGTTTAATAGATTAGTAAATAAATACTTCTTGAATCAAATACTTAGTATCTAAGACACCACACTGGGTGCTTGAATTCTCATAATAATACTGCAAGATATAAAATATGTTAGTTTTGGCTGTAAACCTGGAGCTACTGCTATATGCACTGAGGCGCAGAGAGGTTGAGTTACTTGATCAAAGTCACACAGTTATTGTGGCAAGCTGTTGCTTACCAAATATTCCATGTGCTCTCCCACATTTCCTAATCTCTTTTGCAGTTAGTTGAAGCTGTTGAACTAATTCCAACCAATGGACCGCTGGGGACATGGCATGTGTCAGCTCCCAGCTGAGGCAATTAAGAGCCAGCCCTCTCTTCTCCTCCACCCCTCTCTTCTCTATTTTGTACTCTGCCATTTGAAACATACGGTCCCCAAGGTAAGGGTAAGGGGGATGCTGCCCAACCTGCAGTGGGATTCACATGAGGATACAGAACTCATTGCTGAATTTAAACCATTGCAAATCTGAGTTTGTTATCAGATTATTCTGACTAGTATGGATTCGGTGTTGCTATTAGACAACCCTCTGTATAATGGGCTTTTTGTCTGGGACCCCAGGTGCCCTAAGGGTGAGCATACCCTCGGTACAGTCTAGATTAGGCATGCCACAGTACGGCCAATGGGTTGAGCCCAGATAATGTTGGCACTGGGGCTGTGAAAAGTGAATGACCAGTGCCCTGAGAAACTTCTGAAGACAGGGAGGCTTTAACAATGGCAGTACAGTGACAGTCCTCTGCAACTCAGTCGAGGTTCATTCTCTGACAAGCACCATTCGCTTTCTCGCTCTGTCCTTTGTCCATATAGAGGCATGTCTTCAAGCATGGTGGGGAGGAGGAAAACCATGCTTTTAGAGGTCTTATGGGCTGCACTCATGAACTGAATGAAATCTTTTAGAAATTATTAATTCACACGTACTCAAGTGATTGCCTTTACGACCTCATTGACTCATTCAGTGGATGGGGATGTTGTTTATGCACATGACGAGATACGGATTTGTGTGTCCCCCAAAACAATGTAAGATGCAACATCCTACTTGATGTAAACATCAAAAGGACATGACTATTGTTTAGGGACATGGAACTGAACAGGATAGAGTAGCACAACTGACTTAATAAGAAATAGAAAACCTGAAAAAATAAGATTATAGAAATCAAATCAGTGTTTGTGACTTTCCAGCCTCCCCCTCCCCCATCCATGTTTCTCCTTCTCTGCTAAAGATGCCCGTCCAAGGTGTTTCAACTGGTGAGGTGGCTTAACTTCAAGGACCCGCTGATCTCCACTCTCTGAAACAATTCCCATCAAATGGAGAAAGAAAGTGACTCCACCCTTTCTATGAGAGTAGTGTATCTGGTAATAAAAAGGAATAGAGATGGTACAAAAAGAGGAAACTACAGACCAATATCACTTACATAAACATTCTAATATTGAATCTGTAAACTCAGCAGTATATACATATAAACAGATCATGACAGCGTAAAGTTTATTCCGGGAATGTAAGGAAGATTTAATATGAGAAAAATTTATTCAGGTAATAACTACATTAAGATTTTAAAAGAAAAAATAACTCAAATATGTTATATAATAAATGTAGTTATGAAAAAAATCTAAGCAACTTATGGATGGAAGGGAATTGTCTTAAGCTGATAAAATCTATCTTCCAAAAATCTATGGCAAAAATGATGCTTAAATGAAAGGGTGAAACTCTAAGGAAACTTTTGTCTATTCCAATATTAATGTCTTTTCAGTTCTAATCTTTTGCTTACATAGAAAATACAAGGAGGCCCATTTTTGTCTTTAATTTCATATTACATTGGCTAGGACTTAAACTGCTAAATAGAAGAGATGATAGGAGCATTCTTATTAGAGCTGTTTCCATGGCTGATGTATAGGAATTCAATTGATTTTTAAAATATTGAATTTGCACTTGGCAGTTTTGCTGAACTCTCTTATTTGCAAGTGATATGATCTAAAATTCTCTTTCTTCCTTCTTCATGGCTTTAATAGATTATGCAACCTATTGTTTTTATCGTTACTGTGAATGAGATCTTTTCCCCAAAATAAAGGGAATAAATACTAAAACATTATTGGTCCAGCACATCTTTATTTCTATTACATTCTCAAACCAATTACCAGACTACAAGGTAATAACGTGTTCCCATTGACGCCAGTTTCCCTCAAATGCATCTATAAGTTCAACGCTCTTCCGATGAAAATCGCAGCAGGGGTTGAGGAGCTGGGTGTGAAATGCATGTGGAGGAGCAAAGGCCAAGAGGAGCCAAGACCCTGGCTATAGTTCTACAGTATCTGCCAGGGAAAGACCCCCCACTTCTCTACACACCTCGGTCAGCGGTCAACTGTCCTGCTAGAATTAACTCCGAAGAAGAGTCACAATAAACAGTGAAATGCAGCAGCACAGAGACCCAGTCAAGATCCACACAAAGATGCAACCTGGATACACAGAGGTCCTGACACACACAGGGAGGAAAGCACAGACTCTCCAATAATAGGCGTTAGGACAACAGAGTCACTCACCCCAAACTGAACTTTTGTGAGGATATGAATCTGATTCAGGTATGTTTCATTAAAAAAATTTTGGACCCAGATCCTTTTGAAGAAGATTTTTACCAAGTCTATAACTGACAGCTCATATTTTATTATGGTGTCCACTGTTGTATGGAAGTTTATTTTTAATATTAAGTTTAACATAGAAGACTTTTTGATGTCAAGGTCAGGGGGGACTTCTAAAATCACAAGAAGCACCAAACCTGAAGGAACTTTTTTTTCTTTATGGATATTTAAGAGTATCTATATTTTCTTTTAAAAGTTTAAAATAAATATTTCAATAGTAAAATGGACAAACAGTATCAGCAGGCCATACGCAGAAAATTAAAATCTCCAATACACACTTGCACAAGTATACTCTCTCACTAGGAATCAGGGAAATGCAGACAGACACAATACATTGCTTCAAGTTTGGATATTGCCAAATAGTATGTTGAAGTTCGCGTTTCTCCATATCTTCACCAATACTTGGCAGACTGTTACCATTTCACAACGCTCAGATTGGCAAGTTGCTTTCCTTGGTGATCACCACTTGTACCCCTCCGGCACTCACCCCATGCTCCAGTGTGTTTAGACATCATTAGTGGTCAACAGCTGTTCTTCTGCAAACAGGGATGCTGCAGAGCCCCTGTGAGGGGTTGTGTGACCACTTCTGGACAACGGGTTGTGAGTGGAAGTGCTGTGTGTCGTTTGCCACCTGTGCAAGCTCCTCTCCTCCTGCTCTTTCCCTGTCACAGTGAAGGAGAAGCCCAAATGGTTCATACGTTGCAGCTACAAGACGGGAGCCTCCATCAGACTGGGCCCCTGACAGACTGTGGACCTGAAGTGTGAATGAGAAATAAACATTTGGTTGACCAACTAGGGTTGCAAAATAAATGCTAAATAACCTCAAGCAGCCACTTGTGCAACTAGTTCTCTAAGGTATAGAGCTGGAAATAGAACTGCTGGGCATTAATGCAGAATCGGGCACAGAACTGGCATTCCCTAATGTGAGTTAGCGAAGCTAGCCCAGCCTACCCTAGAGACACATAGACAAATAAATTCCAGTTCTTCCCATCAAGCAGTTCAGACGAGTCAGCGGCTATTCACAGCACAGTCTTTTTCCCCGTGCTCTGTGCTATTCAATACGGTAGATGCTAGGCACATATGGGTAATGAACATATGGGTAATAAACCGTGGCTAGGGTGACTGGAGAACCGAATTTTTAATTTTACTTAAATTAAAAAACTGAAGCAGTGTAAAATCTTTCCATTAAACACAACTTAAGTGTTTTGGTAGGACTGTATCTCATTATAACTAAAAATTTAGCATCAAAATTGAAAGATGCTATAAGTCTAAAATACATACCAGATTTCTGAAGACTTTAGTTTAAAAAAGTATATCTATGTGTGTGTGTATATACACAATCTCAAATTTTATGTTGACTGAAAATGTTAAATAATATTTTAGATGTATTGGGTCAAATAAAACATTTAATTTCACCTGCTCCTTTTACTCTTTTAAATGTGGCTACTAGAAAGTCAAGGTGACATATATGGCTCAGACTATCTTTCTATTCAACAGCACTGCTCTAGACATAAGTCCAAGCTCCTTAGCGTGGTACCTCATCCCAACTAATAGAGGTCTGACAGGTGTTGGGACCTCAGGAAGGCAGTTCATGCTGAGTGTCACCTGTGGCAGGAAAAGGCTCTAATACTGCAAAGCCAAGAGCTTTACAGACACAAGGGGGGCCAGCGGTGCTTCCGGCCCAAACACTGTCCTACACATCACTTCGCTCATCTTCATAAAACCTGGTGAATCACGTTACTAATCTTTCTGAGCTTAAGTTTTCTTACTAATAAAGTGTGATTTAGTTACTGCCACTTGCTAGCTTTATGATCTTTGAAGTCAGTTTCTGCCCTAGTCCCCTGTTCTGAGCACCACACTGTCAGTCGCCACCCTGGTAGTCCGTGCCTGACAAGCCTCCTTCAGGCTTCCACTGCCTTATTTGATCTCCACTCTCTAACCAGTCAAAGGTGACAATTTATTGGACTAGATCGATAGGATTAGAGAATGACTCATTTCAACCCAGATAATACATTAAACAGCCAAACTGCTGAATTTAAGCAATTCGCATCTCCTCTTTGTTTTCCTCAGGGTCTGCCAATAGTCCTCTCTAGTTCAGCTCTCTTTTCCCTTTTTGACTCCTTGGGCGCTGGGAATGAGATGAGGGAATTAAGACCCCTCTCCAAATATCCTCATAGTCCTTCCTCTCGAATGTGTGTGGAATCGGATGCAAGGGATCAATTATATTTGCATAGATGGCATCCGCAGTGCGACTACACCCCCACGGTCCGGGAGGCTCATCAATTGCTTGGGAACTCTTCCACCAAGCCCCTCTCCTGGCGGAGAGGCCAGGCACGGAGGGCAGGTTAAGGGCCCACATACATTCTCTGATGAGGTCACTGATCATGGTATGAAAATTGTCCCTCCTGCCCAAACTAGCACCTCTTGTGAATTTAAAGCAAAGAAAAAGAAAAACAGTAACGTGCCCTCATGTCAGGGTATGCACGCTCAACCAGCAGTGCATCTTGGGGAACTCAAAGCCCCTGTGTTGTGCAAAATGACGCCTTGATGTGGTTCAGAAATGAAGGATACCAGATAGGCTGGGTAACAAATCGCCACCTTAACATTTGAAATGAAAGGGCAGAGAACACTTTACAGTTGCTTTATTTAACAAAGTTTACGTCAACTTCTATATCTATACACAAATGTGTTTCAAAACCAGAGCAGCAGACACACAAACTGTTAACGCAGAACTTATAATAATGCTTAAAACACGTCACACAATGTTTTGTTTTCTGCTCGTACTGCTTTACAGATTCAAAACTTATTCCAAAGGTCGAGCAGCATCGCGTCTTCATTTTCTGGGAGGGCTTACACGGTATGTCCTAAACAACGAGGGTGGAGCTGCTGAGTGGCACTGGGCCCACTACAGGGGCTCACAAAATGTTTTGGGCTGGGGATAAAAATTTGAGTAAAATATAATCTATTAGTGTATACTTTGAGTCATTTTTAAAAATTTTTCACTCTGTCATATCAAGATCTCCTCATTTATGATCCCCAAAGGTAAGAAAATCTACTTTAAAAAATAAGTTTAAAAGATTTTAGAAGTACTATTAATAAAACTCAGTGAGTCGAGGTCCTTCCCAATCAAGCAAGAAGGAGCTCACAAATACTCAACACGACTCTGCCCACCTTCTCCAAGCTTCTTAGAAACGACGTGCTCATTATCTACATGTCAACAAGCCATTTTGTAAAGTTCTTTATATAAGGACGGCTACTTTTTGCTTTTTCATTTTTTACAATTTTCAGGAGCCCTATTAATTCCTTAAAAAGTACTGTAGTTCTGAAAATCTCCGAAAGCTGAGCTACAGTCTACTCACAAAATTTAGCTCTGTCCAAGTACATAAGCTGAATTTTAGGTAATACTTGAAAAATAGCTGATGCTGCAAAGTGTAAATATTTCATTTTGACACTTAACGTTCTGACCTGATTCCTGGTCATCTTTCCTGAAAGGTCACAGTCTAGCCTTTCAGGAAAGATGCTACTAAGCAGTGAGGTATAGGAGGAGAAAGAAAAAATCACAGCCTTTTCTTCTCCTCTTCTCAACATCTCAGGAGCTTCTTTCATGCTGGAGGGGTACAAATCTATACAGGGACACAACTTTAGAACGCTCTCCTTTATGTAGCGAAGTGGTACCCAAGATCCATCTCCCAAAAAGCACCAGCCAGAAATGCACGGGGACTAAATACTGTAATGAAATGATCCACAGGGGTTTCCATTCCGTTTGTTCATATAAATCAGACCCATTACTTACGGTGCTTTCATTTTCTAAAAAATGAGATCAGACCATTATAAAAATGTACTTCCAAAATAATTTCTTTCTAGAATATAAAAAGTTTTATATTTTTCCAGCCCACATAATTTTATTATAAAATAGGAAATCAGAAAATTAGCTACTACAGTTTTCATATGGTAAAAAATATTTATATGTGTACACACACATAAAAAAATCCAAGTTTTAAATTTCAATAAAAATTAACCAATTAATCAACTTAATGGTCATGTATTGAATTATACATAACAAATGTTATCTGTAATGAGAACCAACTATCAAGAAGAATTACAGTCCCACTTAACTGAGGATAATCTAAGACTTTCCCATGTGGGAGAAAAATCAGGAAGTCTCCAACTGACTACCCAACACAATAGAAATCACACTGTCTGTTTGCGACGATGTGACAGCCCCCAGTTTCATTCACTGCACTAATAAACTCCCTAAGGAAGGCGCAGCCCTTAAAGGGAAGAACACAGAGTCCGGGCTGCCTTGTGGCTGCGCCATTTGTGTTCTGCACAAAGGGCGGTGCCCAGCAGAGTGGGCAAGCGAGGACTAAAACCAGTCTGAGCTGCATTTGCCAGGCCACCTCTCTGCCCACGAAGCCACCATGGTGCAGAGGGCGGGTTTTTTCTAACGCACACAACGGCACTGTAGACCAGCACCAGCCCTGACTGCTGGTGGAGGGGGAGCAGGAGCGTTCCTGGAGTGCTTCCTAGGAAAGGTGAGCAACAGGGAAAGCATGACGGCAGCTAAGATAAATTAGAGGCAGAGTGTTACTGTTGATAGAAACCAGGGACAGTGTTCCTATAACCTTAACAAAGATGGTGGGATGGCTCTATTTTGTCGATTCTGTCCGTTTTCAGTATGTTCATGAGGGAAAACCTAAGGGGCCTCAACGGCACAAAAGAAAAGGACAGGAAGTGAGGAGAGGCGCAGAACAGGAGGGCCTGTTCAGAAGAACGGCCAAGGGAGAGGAGAACATGGCCTGGGAGCAGTGTCTGGGCCCTAAGGGGTGGAGAGAGTGTGCAGCCTCACCCATGGGCTGTGGACGGCTCCCAACGAAAACTAACATGACGTTCAAGTCACCCTTTCTTTATAATCCTACCTTGAGTTGCTTTCCCAAGTTTTATCTGCGTTGTAAGAAGCCTGTTTGTTCACATTTGAAATTGGTTACTTTATGTTTGTGCGAGTGGTAAGAGCAAGCAGGAGACTTAATTTTAGATACTTTCCATCTGTGACCATTTCTTCTTTTTTGCAAAAAGGCACATTCCCTCCCCAATTGTCATAAATTAAGATATTTAAAAAGAAAGGAAAAACTCAAAAATGTTTTCTTTCTTCCCCTAACACCCGCTGTTGAAGTAGTCAATTCAACCCTTGGAATCATTCTTTAAGATTGCCAATGTAAGCCTCTGCTCTATAGGACACGTGCGAGTATTACAGAGTGGGTGAGGGATTTAAAAGAACGGCCACTTTTCTATAACCAAATTTAACAAATAAAGTAGAAAATATAATTTTCATTATGTACTAAATATTCAGACAAGTTAATGCAAAAAAAAAAAGGATGTGCACATCAAGACACGGGTTTACTTCTTCAGTAGCATTTTGTTATACGAAGAGCACGTGTGAAACGCTCTAAACTTGCCCCTCTGCATGGAATACAAAAGATTTGTATCTACTCAGAAAAAGGTTGCTAAACGAAGCAAAGTCTCAGATCCTACTGAAAATCTGTTGCAAGTTTCCCTTCTTCTCTTAAGAAAAATGCATGTACATACATTTGTGCGTATTATTTCAGGGGCTTCAAATACCTTCCAGGTCCAGTCACGATTAATATCTCAGGTTAAGACTCCTGGCTCTCAACATTCCTACAAGGGATCTTAAGAATTAATGATCCTCCCATTCCTACAATCTGTACTTCTCCTATTGAGTCACGGAGGAAGAAAAAATCCAAACCAGGATAAACTAAAAGTAAGAAAAACAATTTGCTTCGAAGACCAATTTTCCACTTATTTGCCCTTGGAAGAAAGAACATCCCAATCTCTAGTTGCTTCTATCAAATGTCGTTGGCCGTGACTCATCCACTCTTCCTGGTCTTCATACAGCCGCCCACAAAACCAGCACTTAAATATACATTGTGCTGAATCATCAGGCAAGGAATCCACCACCTGGTAGTTGTTTCTGTGAACTTTTTTAAGTTTCATTTTCAACATCATCTGCCTTTTTATCTGACTGGCTTCCTCCGCGTTCTGGTAGGTCAGCCGAACGTGATGCCGTCGGATGCCTAACTGACACCGAGTCCTCTCGGACAAGACGACTTTGAGGACGTTGCCCTTGTACTTGTTTATTACCTTCATCACATTGGTCACTTCCGGTGAGTCAACGTCAGGGTGGTTTAACACAATGACAGGCTGGTTCCGGCGGGGACATTTAATCAACTGGTCTGGTTTAGCTGCTATCAGTCGAAGTTGTCTTGCAACCTGAAAAATGGAAGGATCCTTGAGACAGCGGCTGGGATCGGCCTGAACTTTGCTTTTCTTCTTGGACGAGTTTACTTGTTTGGTTTTATTTCTACTTATAGGAACACTTCTGGAAAGCAGTTTCCCTTGCTTACTCAATTCACTGCTTCCTTGCTGTCCGTGCAGGGGGCCAGGTTTTTTAGGGGCGGTGCTACAAGTAGCACTCTCTTTTCTTGGTTTAGGCCGAAGAGATGTGTCAAGACTTTGGGACATGTCAATTGGCCCACTTTCACTTGTCAAAGACTGTAAGTCTGAGTCTGTCTGTTTCACTGGGCAGAAAGGAAGAGGTTTTAACAACTGTGTCTCATGGCAAGGAATGCTGACAGGTGCTTCACATGTAGCCTCTATAATGTGGGCATCCTCAGAGGAATTAAGAACCCTCAACACAGCCCCTTTGGGGATCAACACTGGAGTAGCGACATGAGCCTTCCCAGCTACTCTGCTTTCAGTTTTCCCACTGCTGCCTTCTACAAACGGTGGATATATTTGCTGACGAGTAATCTGTCTATTAACACCACTGTCATCCTGAGGTTTTTGGAGAGTGCCCGTGGAACAGTCAGTGCCAGGAAATGACACATTAATTTGCTGAATATCTTCAGGGGTAGCTTTCGAAGCTACCTTTGATGGCTGCCCTGCAGAACGACGATGTGTACTATTTGTAGCCAAAGATGAAGGCTTGCCACAGGATTCAATTAACTGAGCTATCTTTCTGCGCAAGAGTTCAATTGACTTTATTTTCGACGTTGAACTATTCCACTTAACGCCCTCAGGGACATTTTCAGATCCAGAGCTCAGAGAAAACACTGAAGAGATGACTGGGCCATCGAAAGGGTTATTAGTCCTTTCAGAATTCTTTAATTCCAAAGGTTTATCCCCAGGCTGCTGAGACCTGATTCTGTCTTCTCCCGTTATGTTTATGTGTAGATACTCACTTGCATGTTGAGAGGAAATCTGGCCTATATTTGAAACTGCTTTGTGTTCCTCTGTCTGGTTGTCTTTCAGCTTCCTAGTAGAGGGAACCATTTTTATAGGAATACTGATCTCATTTCTAGTTCCCAAGTCAGTTTTACTGATGGGCAATAAACCCTTTTCTCCAGAGAAGGAAATGGCTGCAGGCGATGCAGCAAGAGGAAATAAATGCTGTGAGTTACTGTGTAAATTTCTTCCATCTTCAGTAAAAGAAACAGCAGCCTTATACGGAAAAGGGTTTGATGCAGTTCCAAGACCACATAAAACACTGTTTTTTGCTACAGGGGATGGAGAAGTGCCTTTTAAGGCCACAGAAGGAAGAGCAGTTCTGTGTGCACAGAGATTCCTTTTTTTCTGCCAATCCTCAGCCGTATCGGAGTTGAGAAGGGATTCTCCACAGTTGTGCACACCCGAATTTGACATGAAAAAATCATAAGACCTTACCCATTTCACATTCTTAAGTTGTTTTGGAACTGAGGATTGAAGATTATCAATACCTGCAAGTTTTCCAACATTCCCTTCAATCATCAGTGACTTTGTTTGTTCCACAGAAACCATTTTTTCCTGTTCATTTGGACCCTTCTCTTTAGTCATATGCTTGGAATTACCTCCATCACCCCTACCAGCTTTAAGGCAATTATTTTCTTCCAGAGGAAACAGCTTCAGAACAAGCTGCTGTGTTCCGTTGACAATCTTCACATCTATCAACTGGGCTAAACAGTTTGCAGGGACGACCAGCTCCGCTGGGGCCACGACTGTCAGCGGCATTCCGGGCTGAACGGGCTCCTGCGAGGGGGACAACACTTCCACCTCCACACTTTTGTTCTCAAACAGACTGACTTCACTTGGCTCCGGAAGGGGCACTCTATTGGGAATACACACTACATCTTTTTGGTATTCCTTTGATTCCGGTAACAACATGATGTTGTGCATTTTGTCTCTGTTTGTGTGGAGGGAGAACCTTGAGAGTTGATCAGACAACTTATTTTGAAAGGTCGTCCTCGGATGGGAAGTTTTTCCGAGCTCCGGGTTTTGCTTTGATGTGCTGGTTCTTTTCGGCTCCAGCTTGGCCCCGGTTCTGGGTGGCCGTTTTCCGCTCGCCCTCTCATGTACTCTCTTCCTGTGTTTGACGATATAATCATTTCTAATAGCACCATAGTCACAATACTCACATTGATAAGGGAATATGCCTGTATGTTTCACCAAGTGCCTCTGAAACTCCCCTTTTGTGTAGGAAATGTAGCTGCAGTGAGAACAAATGAATTTAATCTCTTCATGTTGAAGTGTGTGCTTTTTGTACTGCAGAGGGTCTTTTGTGGAAAATCGACATTTATCACAATAGTATTTGCCTGGCTTAAAGTTCCTTACCTTAAATTTGTTATTCACGGAACTTGTGATGGTTTCAGTTTTATTTCCTACATGAGTAGCACTGGGATTACTGTTCACAAAATGAAAGTGGGGAGGAGCCACACCAAGGCTGCATTTGAAGCAAACATATCTGTCTTCCTTTTGGCTTTGCCCAGTACCCTTTTTCAAATCTTGAAGAGGGATTTTGTGCACACTTTTGCACTTTACACATGTAGCAACGGTCATCATGGCAGCCTCTGCCTCTGAGCCTTGATACAAAAGAGTCTGAGCTTCTTGTCTATCTGGTCGAGTTGCTCTACTAGCATTAGGTTGTTTGGGTGACATGGTCAAAGAATTATGTCCGTCATTCACTTGCGGAGTATATACCTGCTGTCCAATATCCTTCATTTTCTTTATTTGCATTTCTAAAAAGAGTCCATTGAGATCCAGAAGGATTTCACATGATAAGATCCTTCGGACACATCCTTCAATATACTTTGTGATTGGCAGAGAGGCAGCTACTTCCTGGGAGCATACTTAATTATCTTTTCTTATATGCCACCACAAAAGGTGCATAATCCCAAAATATAATTGTTTCCAATTCTCTGATATTCCAGGCAACACTAAAGGGGACAAAAGAAATCATAAAGCATGATTAATAGATGAATTTAAGGTTTAGCTAAGCTATTTCCAAACTTACATTAATGACCTTGGGAATTTCATGCTAAATCTCGACATATTATCTTAGACACATGTTGACAGTAATACATACAAAAGAGCTGAGAAATAACAAGCCTAATTTTGAAACTCAGCCCCACTTTGGACCAACCGTAACACAGGCATACCAGGAGTGAGGAGATCACAGGAGTCATTAAGAACAGCTTTCCATCAGAGAAAGTTATCTTTAAGTGTCACTGAGAGCGTCCTAGCAATTTCACAGGTATAATTTCATATTAACCTCACTAAAACCTTGTACAGGAGGTTGTTGTTTCCGTTTTTAAACTCAAGTTCTCAAGTGGTAAAGCCAGGGCTGTGGCTCAGGTGCCCATTTGTTTCTACGATACAGCTAATTATCCGCTGGGATCCCCACTCTCTCATGCATACGCTCCCTCTGCTTTCACAAGTGGTAAGAAGTGAGTTATTGACGGACAACACTAGGCAGACAAACACTTATTCCTTCAACATCTTATTGAGCACCTACCATGTGCCAGGCACTGTTCTAAGTACTGCAGGGCAGGGACCAAAAGCAAATCAGTCTTTACTCTCACCGGGGTATAAAGAGGAGAAACAAGGCATATATTTATTTGTCAGATGGTGGTAAGTAACTGGGAAAAATATAAAGCAAGGCAAGAGGGATGGGGGTGCCTATGCCATGAGGCTGGAGGGCCGGGGCACGGAGGTGTGGATCGCCGGGGAAGGCCTCACGATCAGCTGACACTTGAGCAGAGATCTGGGGCAGGCAGGGAGCGGGCACTGTGGCTGCCTGGGAGAAGGTGAAGGTCTGTGGGAAGTGGCCTGAGCACGTGAGGAGCAGCAAGGAGGCTCTTGCCACCAATGACCTCCAGCTGCTGTGAGGACAAGCATCTGTGAGGGCAAAACGATGGCAGCAGGGAGACCTGGGTGGGATAGGAAGGTGGCCTGTACCGCAGCAGCAGAGGTGCAAATGTTTTCCAGAGCAAGTACCACAATACGAGTAACCCAGCGACTGATTTTTATATAAAAATAGATAATTATCTTTAAATCACCTTTTTTCAGAATACACAGAACTAGGAGTCAAAGAAAAACTATTCTAGTTTGCAATCTACTAAAGCCTTTCTTTTATGACCTTAAAAAACCACTTAAACCTTCTGAGCCTCAATTTTTTCACCTGGCAATTAGCATGAAGGACACTTATCCAACCTCTCCCACAGTGCTGCTATGACGACTAAAACGCTAAGGCGTGTAAGAGAACATTTCTGAAGTTTTAAAGTGCTCCTCTAAGTGTCAAGAGGCACACAGAGGCACTGGGTAAGTGTGTGTCCAATGACGGGCAGCAGCATGAGGGAGAATCGGCCGCTTCCTCTGGCACATTGCTAACAGGCCAAGAGCCACGCAAAATAAGTCTGAGAGGCTGACGAGGGGAGCAGAAGGTCTCTCTGCAGGGTCAAGAGAAACAATCATTGCACATTCAGATCTAGCATAACACCCGCCCTTTAAAAGCATTTTTGGAAAAGTGCTGTAAGAACACACCATTTTTAATACCAAGCTTTATTTTCTTCTGCAGTGTTGTCTTGCTCTATTTTGCTTTTGCAAATGATAGTTGCCTCCTTTCAAAAGCAGGTCCCAGCATGCCATCAAGCCCTGGTGGCATTAAGGGACTCAATCAGACTTGCCCTACCATAAGCGTATATGTGATACTTAGACTCAAGCAGGCAAAGGCCTGGGGGCTTGCAAGGCGCTGTCTGTCCCCTCAACGTTCAAACACAAACCTCCGCAAGGAAAGTGCGAACAGGACAGGACACGAGACTGCCTCAGACTGGCAGGCCTGGGCAAGGACAAGGACTTGCAATCTCCACTGCACTCCTGGTATGCACAAGAGGTGGAACTTCCAGAGGAGTCACAGGAGAAGTGGATGTACACTTTACTTTCCAGATTTGTAAAGCGGCGTTAGTGAATGGAGACAGAAGTGACACTCAGAACTTCTGCTACTAATTAAGTGACCTCAAGCAAGCCACCCATTTGCGTCTGCCTGCTCATCTAGATGATTTCTAAGCCCAGTCTGACAGTGCTGATCCCTGAAATCAGACTTTTTATCATCTAAGAATGCTACTATCGTCAACATCCTCATCCTGTTAAAACAGAGGAAGCAGTGGCTGCAATCAGAACTTAAGCAAACCACTGGCCCAAAGAACGCAGAGGCTGAAAGGGGCTACAAAGAGGATCTGGTCCAGTGGTTCCCGAATCTGGAGAAGCATCAGAATCACAGCTAAAATAGACACTAATGTTTCATCCCAAGCTAGTGAATCCAAATCTTGGCAGGGAGAGGCAAGAGGAAGAGACATTTATGGTTTGTAAAGGCACTCCGCCTAGTTCTGATGAAAAGCCAGTATGAAAAATCCTCAGCTGAAACTTCCAGCAACGTTTACATCCTTTAAAACATCTTAACCAGTTGATCATGCAGTTGATGCTCTAATATTGCCATAAACAGAAAACTCCCTCTCTCTTTAGGCAGCTATTTTCACACAGTTCTCATTGTCAAGAATTTATCCTTAAATGAAACTGAAACCAACCTCCTTGTAATTTTCTCTCTTATATCCTGACTCTGGAGCTACAAACGACTTCTCTTGATAGACCAGTTATTAATCGGCACATCTCTCATCTAGTTCTTAGTTCTCAATTCTGTTCACAACATCTCCAAACCAGTCAATATACACATCTCTGCTCTCATCTACCAGCCTCATAATCCTACTAGTTGGGGGGGAGGGGGAGGGAGAACAAGAAGAGGAGGGAAAAAAAACAAAAGAAAGAAAGAAAGAAAGGGAGAGATGGAAGGGAGGGAGGTCGAGGGAGCAAGAGAGGGAAAAAGAAAGAAAGAAAGAGACTAGAGTAAGAGATGGGAGGAAAGAAAAGAAGAAAGTAACTTACTTGCCTGGCACAACTTGCTTAACAACTCTTTCAACATAACACCTTACACATTAATCCTAAGAAATTCTCAACTGAATCATGTGACGAGAGTCCTCTATTTGAAGAATCAACCAAACCAGGATTCCACTTGTGTATTTTCAGTTTTCCAGCACCTTTCCCAGCCTCCAAGATTCTTCAAAAATCACAGGAGGCAGTTTTGCTATTTTCTCTTCAAGTCCTTTTAAAACTTGGTGGTGTCATTTCTCCTAAAACTGAAGACCTGAAATCTAAGATGGACTGGACGATAAGATCATGTACATGAGCAAGAAGGGGAGAGCATGCTGATGGAGGAAAGTCCCTAAGAATTAACAAGCTAGCTACAGTGCCTGAGGAATGCAGAGTCCTCCTGGAGGTACTTCTGCAGAACCACCCCAGCAGTTACTCTGAATTAAGAATCCATAGGAGCAACTGCCAGTATGAAGCGTGAGGCTGTGATTAGCAAATACAATTTAATGGGGAGGCAAGACATCTAGGCCATGACTGAATTATGTCACCTGTTGGAAAGTATCTTGGCTTCTAAACCATTTTCAAAATAATGAAATGTTTCTACATTGGCACTTCCCTCAGTCCAGGTGAAAAAGATGCCAGGCTTCTTTAAAACAAGCAAACAAAGATCTCTTTGGCCTTTGCAACTTGTGTGGCTAGTCTTGAGCGAAAAGATCTCAGATGTAACACCCCAAGACAGAGATAAACGGATGCAATGGCATGGCGTCCACTGATATTGGTATTTACAAGTGGACAACTCCTGAGGTCGCAGCAGGCACACCCGAGTAACGGGCTCCTAAGCCCCTGTTTCCTCCATGCAACTTCCTCTATCTGGTTCATATTTAGGTACAACCACCTATGAAGCTGGGTCCTCTTGGCAATTACTGCCCAGTGGGCTGACAACTAAGGGTTATATAAAACACTGAAGATGAGGGCTGTGTGTATGCCTGATGCTGAGAGGGCACTCAATGAATCACTACTACATCGGCATCGGTGTTCACATACCTTCCAAATTCACAATGCCCGTTACAAAACCTCTGCCTTCAACCTCCTAGGACTAGAAACACATGTTCTTTTAGATAACTTAGGAGGGTTCTCAAAAACACAGAAAATACTTAGTATTATTAACTTTTGATACAATAAATAAGATGGCCATTTAATATTTAGTTGCCTGTTTTTTAACAGCATACAGTGAGCTTTTTCAAGCAGAATTACCTATAGCATCAGCCAAAGACGACAGCCAAACACCAAAGAAATGGCACGGTTTGTTCACATGTGCTTCCCCTAGACTGAGTTAGATCCTTTCCTGGGAAAGTGCAGCATTTGCTGCTGGTAGGTTTTCCTTTTGTCTTTGGGCTCACCTGCCCTGGTTTCTTAAAGATTAATTATGGAAAAATAGGAGAAAAAATACTCAGTTTGTTAAAAACCAGTTCAGTGACATTGATGGCTATAAAAACCACGGAGGATTGTTCTTATCAAAAGGAAGCATTTGACTTCTAAATACTGGAAATGTCAGATGTTCAACATAATTAGAAGAGAAATCAGTAGTAAAATAGTGTTTAAAGCTGCAGGTTCTGGAATTAGATCACAGGGTTTTAATTCCCAGTCCCACCACTTACTAGGTGACCTGAGGCAAACTGTCCAATTCCTCGTTTGTAAAACAGAGACAGTCATAGTACCTACTGCACAGAGTTGTCATGAGGATTAAACATGATAATGTGACTAAAAGTGCTTAGATAAGTTATTCACACATCATATACTATTAAAAATATTATTTTCCACTTTTTTATGAAGAAAATAGAAGAAATGATGCCAATCACATAAATAGTCAAAGGGGCTAAAATAGAGGCTTCTTAGCTGCCTGGCAATTGCTCTTTCCAGAATACACACTGAATCTCACTTTATAGCTTTAATTATATTTGCTCATTTGTACAGCCTAAAAGATAATTTACCTCGGCGGCAAAAACCACCCACCAAGTCTAACGAGCAAAGTGGCTAACAGGTGCTTATAATGGAAAAGATGCTTTAACTACAAGAGTCCTCATTACACCTTAGCTTTATGTACAGGCTAGTTCCTGAACTACCTTTTCCTCTCCAAGCCCAGCTGCACTGTGAAATATCCCTGTAGCAGATGAACGTGTTTCCATGCCAGATGTTAATGTGTCAGTGTTAGTTGACTGACTGCATCCTTTTTAGACAGAGAAGCACATTCAGGAAGCTCTTTCCAGAAATCCTTCCATTGTGGCTTCTACCACATCCATCACTGGAGCAGGGATAGAGCTGCTATACCCACAAAGAGCAAAGAGAAGGGAGTTGGAAGGTTTGTAGTTCAAACTCTGATTCTGTCCCTTATTTGCTGGGTCCTTAGGCAAGTGATTTCTCTATTCATCGTCAGGCAAGGAAACAGGCTTTCATATCATCAAATTTAAAGGGTGATTAGGAGATGCAAACTAGATAACGTATGCAAAGCACTCAGCCCTGTGGCACAGGCACTGGAAACCTGTATCTCTTCCTTTTGTCTATGTAGCCATGGCAAAGGCTAGTCTAACTAATGTTTACCAGTAACCACGATTTTAAAACATTCTATCCCAAATGCCCAGCAGCATGTAGACAAGTAATACCTGATCAGAAAAAAAGTCTAACATTAGGTTCGTAAACTGCTAATATTTCCCTAGTAGGATGGTATTTAGGAAGAAACTGTTGCCTCACTCGGCAAGAACTTTTTCAGACCATTCATTACAAAGAATCAGAATTGAACTGAACGGTAAATAGATCTAAACAAGGAAAAACATCAATTAAGTATTATTTTCTTTTTGCCAAACTACCTTGCATTTAGAAATGACCAAATTGCAAACCGATGGTCATCTTAATGACAAAAAATATTTCCACATGTTGCTGAAAGACGTACCACCTTTGGGATCCTAGATTTCCTTCTGAAACCAAGCAGATCACTTGGGGAACAGAATGGGGCAAGAAGGCCGGAAGAGAGCCCTGTTCTGATTCCTCTGCTTTCCAGGTGAAAAGTAATAGAGGAAAAAGAGCAATGGCTTTGAGACATCAAGAACAAGGTTCAAAACCTAGGTTTCTGATGTAATAGCTGTGTGATTCTGGATTTGTTCACCTCTCTGAGCCTGAGTTTTCTCACTTGTAAAATGAGAATAATAATGCCTAATTTACATGGCTGATGTGAGGAAAAGGAATATGCAGATAGCAAGGTGACCTTATGCTTGGCAAACATTGTATCTTTTGTCAAGAAATGAGTCAACATATTTTTGTAAGACTCCTTCAAATGTGGAAGAGTCCAGTAATCGAGAGAAGTAGAATGTCGTAGCTTAACAAATGAGTCCGATGAGATAAAGGTCTATGGCAGCAGGAGTTCCAGGGCTGGAGGCGAGGATCTTCTTCCTCACCCCTGTCTGCAAAGGAGTTATTTTGGGATTACTTGACACTGTTGAGCACATCCATTGAGACTACATCAGAAAACAAAGGAAGTTATCACATAGGATATTTTTAACAGTCTAAGAGAAAACCTTTCAAAAGAAAGACTACGACCAGTGCTAGAGTTCTGACAGTCTAAAGCTTATAGTTCTGTATGTGGGAAAAAAACGTTAATGGGCAAATATGCTCTTGTTAAAATGCAAGGTAAAAACAAGGTAGTATTACAAGCAATATTACAAAATTCTGTTATTAAACACACCTAGTGACTTCAGGTCTTTAAAGGTGATGAAAATGAAGGACATAAATTTTTGTATTTCCCTTTTTTTTGCAGTAAAGAAAAATTAACATTTTGTAGAAGAAATAGATTGAGTTTAATAAAAAGGATAATCAAACACAGAAGAAATATCTCCCACTAAACCAGTGATTCTTAACTTTGGCTGCATTAGGGTGACCAACTTGTCATCATATGCCTAGGATGTTTAACTTATTTTTTCAAGAGGTCCCTGGGACCATTGGTGACCCTACTGCACACCAGTGTGTGTGTGTGTGTGTGTGTGTAGAGGGGTCAGGAGTTTTAAAAGTCTCCCAGGTGATTCTAATGTGCAGCCAATGCTGAGAACAGAAATGGCAAGAACAGTATCAACATCCTTGCACAATCTTTTAATATACCTAATTCACCCGTGGGTGCCTGGAAGTGGGGCAAGGCCAGTGCCTGGGACTATAATGGGGTGATTAGGCAAGGGGACTCTGGGTCCTGCCCTTGCTTAGCCATTTGACCTTGGAAACATCATCACTGATGTTCTCTGTCAAGTGTGTAATGACAGTAACTACTTTGTAGATTCTGGGAAACTTAATGTTCCTGGCACAGTGCCTGGCGTGGTGTGAGAACAACGAGCAGGCCCAGGACTGTTTCACCCCCACATCTGCTGCGGGCCACTGTCTTTGAGGAGGGGAATGGGAGACGGAGAGAAGTAAATGGGTGGTTTCAGTAAAGCGGTAAATGCTGCATCAGTGATCTGATTAGGACGTTCTCAGTGGCTGGCTGCATTTGTCAATCCTGGAGCACTGTGGCCCAAGTCAGGTGGAAGGGGTGTCTGCAGAAGCAGGTTCATACATTACCTCGATACTCCTCAAAGGACACCTTCACTTATCTGCTTCTTGGGAGGTGACGGTTCTGGAGAAGCTATGCAGCTTTTCTAAGGGCATCGAGTTGGTCAGCTGGTGTCTAATCTAGATTCTTTGTTTTCTGCTACCCCACTGTGAAGCTGTGAACTGAAGTCACAGCCAGCATCTGCTGCCCCTCGGGCACTCTTCTTACTTCCTGCCTGGAGCCGTGGAGCTGCAGACGGGAGCTGAAAACACAGCAGGTCCCATGGGCTCTTCCTTCTTTCAGGCCTTCTCTTCTTGGGCACCGAGTCCCGTGAGTCTCAATGGCAGGCCCTGGCGTAGGCTTCTCCATTCAGAACCCTGGGAAGCAGCAGGGCACCACACACAGCGCCCTGCAACAGAAGCCAGACTTGGGTTTAAGTCCTGGGCTGGTGTAACCCTCCTTGGTTTCTCCAGGTACTTTTCTTCTAGAAAATAAGAGGAATGAGCCCCAAAAGTGTCTCTCAAGCAGGGAGGGGTGTGTGGCAAAGTCAGAGAGGGAGCTTAAAATAAAAAGGAGAAAAAAGTTTCCCAGGACTCAGGTGACCTAATGAATTAGATTGCCCTTCTCCTTCGGTGGGCTCAGGCACATGGTTTAAAATCCTTCCCAAGTGATTCTGATGCCTCCCCACTCCCAGCCCATGAGGAGAATGTCTGGATTAGATGGTCTCCAGCCACTTTCACTCCAAGGATGGATCCTGGAAATTGCAGTTTGCTGTTTGTATATGTGAACAAAGAAAATGCAGTCTATGCCAGGCAGCTTGAGACCAATCAAGACTAGGAAAATCTCACTGGTGGGGACCTTGTTTATCACAGTCAACAGCATAGGGTTTGGCCACAGAAGGCACTCAGTACATATTGGTTGAATGAATGAGTCAATGAATGAAAGAAATGCCAGCCTTCATGGTGACAATAAAAAAATGTTCTGTGTTCTTCCTTTTGCACAAATACTGGCCGAGATCCCCTTACTTAAAAGCAAACAGACTAGGAGACAGACACGTGTTTTTTTTTTTTTTAAACTGCTATTATTGGATATTTAAAAATCTACATTAGTTTGGTATAACACATCAGCGAAGAGGCCCAATACATAAAATAATGCTCTCTTTTGTCTGTTTTCAAAATGCACTTGCAATGAATGTTATCAGCATAACAAAACTGGATACATAGAAAAGTGTTATTTTTCAAGGCTATATTAGATCCAAGATAGAAAATAATTTAAAAAAATGCATCACAGGTTCAAGATAACATTGATATCATACAATTTTAAAAGCAGAAGAGTCCACTTAGAGACTGTATGATATTGGTTTCTAAATAACCATTTGCTGGGCTTCCAGAATCCTTGGCCAGTATCTCCTGTTGTGTACAGACATCACAGGCTGGGCTGAACTTGGCATATGTGACTCAGAGAGAGATCAAGAGATACATTCCTTTTCTCTCTGCTCTTCTCTAGGAAAGTACAGCAAGCTTCTGGAGACCATGGTTTGTCTTATTCTTGATGACCAGTTCTAAACTTATAGGATAATGTTTAAAGGTCCTAACACAACATTATAGTTCAGCTGTGTAGACTTCTATTTTTAAAAAGGACAAAGAGCTCAGTATTTCACTTTTTATTCTTTAATGTTAGGTTGACAAACTGTTCATTACTCCAGTTTTTAAAGTCAGGGGTATTTTAGTGGGATATATTAAATACCCAACGTACACAGAGGGACTTAAGCGTTTTCTTTCATTCTCTCCTTCGGCTTTGCTTTTCTGGTTAAGAAATTTTCATTCTTTTGCAACCTGCGTTGTTTCCCCAGCTTAAACTGCCCAACAACCCCAAGGCAACAAGATAAAAGGGCAGGCTGAGATGGGGAGGTCCCACACAGAGTGACATCAGCTTTTGGAACAAGGCAAACCTTCACCCTGTCCCCTCCCCTTCCCCCTCCCCAGCAAAAGATGCACAGGGCCGCGATGGACAAGCCCATCGCTGGACACTCGCCCCCACACTCCCAAGGAAAGACAATGCCAGTCTGGTTTTCAAGTTTATTGTTGGCACACTCACATTATGTATGGTACACACTATCCGAGGCGAGTCCACGTCTAACAGCGTGGGTGCTGGGAAGGGAAGGGAAGGCGCGGGCACAATGGGATGACGTCCTGGCCCCCTCCAGGGACCGCGGGGGGTTCTTCTAACTACTGAAAATCAAACCACGTCAACGCTTACCTCCGAGGCCCGCAGGAGGCTTTAAAAATGGCCTCCTGACGACACTTCCTGCTCGGAGCCGACCGGTAGAAATTCTCCCAGGAGCTGCATCATTTAAAACGCTGGGGGCGGGCAGAGGAGGCCGGGCTCGGCGGCTCCTCACCGGCGGCTCCGGCCCGGCGCGTTCCGGGCGAGGCTGCGGGGTCGCGGCAGCACAAAGGCGGGC